TTTATTTTACATAGTAGCACATATATAAATCTGCCAGTGATACCTTCTTCCTTTGAAAGACTTTCTTTTTGTTTTCCAGAACTACATACTTTTTCCAATTTTTCTCCTATTTTCCTAGCTTCTCCTTTCAGTTCTTTTTATCCCAATTTTTCCTTAACATCCCAATCCAAAAATGTTGGAGTGTTTCAGGGTTATAGTTGAGTTGTATCCCCTACCCCCACAAATTCATATGTTGAAGTCTTAACCCCCAGTACTTCTGAATGTAACCTTATTCGGAGATAAGGTTTTTACAGAGGTAACCAGGTTAAAATGAGGTAATTAGCATGGGCCTTAATCCAATATGATCCATCTCCTTATAAAAAGGGGAAATTTGGAGATGCACACATAGGGATGACACCATGTGAAGATCAAGACAGAGATCGAGGTGATGCTTCTATAAACCAAAGACTGCCAACAAACCACCAGAAGCCAAGGAGAGGCATGGATCAGATTCTCCCTCTCAGTGTTCAGGAAGAACCAACCTCGCTGACACCTTGCACAGAATTTCATCTCCAGAACTGTGAGACAATAAATTTCTCTTGCTTATTCCCCAGTCCGTGGCACCTTGTTATGGCAGCCCAAGTTAATTAATATATCCAGGGGTTATGTGCTGAGATTCTTTTTTAGCTACATTTAGTCCCTTGTGATCTCACAATCTGTGTCTTTAAATCTTACTGCTATACTGAGGTCTTTCAACCTTCGGCCTGCAACGCCGCATGTCCTCAGAACCCCTCAGGAACATAACATGTCCAAGGCTAAACCCGTCCTCCCTTGAAACCGCCTCCCCGAACCCCCCTGGTCTTTTTCATCCTAGTTCATAGCCCTTATTCTTCGTTGCTGAGGCAATTTACCTTGGAATCATTCTGGACTTTTCTCTTCCATATCTTCAAACTATCAGCAAAAAATCTGACCCTACTTTTGAGACATATGCAGACTCCACTTCTCACCATCTGCACTGTGTGGACCCCGGTCACGACTACCATCATTTGCCTGATTTCTAGCAATAGCCTCCTCATTCCTCCTCCTACTTTCACCCTTAACACCCCTTCACCATATTCCCAACACAGCAGCCAGAATGATCCTGTTAAAACGCAGTTCAGATACTATCACACCATTGTCTGAAACGCTGCCACATCTCCTCATCTCACGGCTAAGTCCTTATGGTGGCCTGGGAGGCCCCACAAGGTCCTGGGAAAGCTTCCTGATCTCATGTCCTGCTCTGCCCGGTCCAGCTCCCTGGACTTCCTTACTGTCCAAATATGCCAGGATTTTCCCCTCACTTGCACCTGCTGTTCTCTCTGTCCAGAACACTCATCTCTCAGATATCTAAATTGCACATCAGATTCATTTGACCAATATTTCTTGAAGGAATAGTGACTGAATTGAAAAGACTTACTTTAATAAGAGATAATTAAAACTCTTTAGATACACATTTGAATTGCATTACAATTATATCCCCATTTGATCTTTACAAGCTTCTTATGTGCAAATACCATCTAGAAGTTTTCAGTTTTCACTGCAGTGCTTTGGTAGAAAGTTCACTTAACAAATATTTAATGATCTGTGGAATCAGAAATGAGCAGAAGATATAGTTAGTCCAACTCATTTCAACTTCTGTCAACTGCTTTGCATTTACTGGTAGTTCTAGACTAGTCTTTCCTTATATAACCATTTGTTCTAATTGTAGCAAATGAACCTTAGCATAATTTTGTCTTATGATGATAATGATTCCTCATTAATGGTTAGGGTCTATTGACTCTCACTTTCTTCATCATTTCTTTAAGGCTTTTTGTAAGAATTTAAGATCCATAGCCCAAGATTTAAAAAAAAAAAAACAAATTCCCACAGAAGTCTATTCTTTCCTTGTTTTATATTACTAGAACCCCAGTTTTTAGTAGGGCACATGACTATCCAGAAGAAAAAAAATTTTTTTCTACCCTGTTTTCCAAATGACTCTGATCATAAAACTATGTTCTAGTCAAAGAGATCCTAAGCATAAAATATCAGTTAAAAGAAAATCTGCATGCACTCTTTGCCCTTTTTTTTTTTCTATGCTCTTTCTTCCATCTTACTGCCTAGAATGCAGAGATGATGGCTGGAACTCCAACTGCAATTTTGGATCATGAGGAGAGGTTTAGTTTCCTGAGAGCTTCGCAGAGCAATACCTTCAAACTAACCTGTGATATCTTCCTTCTGGCCTTATGTGAGAAAGAAATTTCTCTCGTATTTAAGTCACTGTGATTTTAGAACTCGCACAGCTTCAAACATAGTCCTACCTCAAACATCACAAAAACTATCTAATGCCTGGAACTTGAGAGCTAAAAACGAGTTACTGCTGCATCATTTAACAGAATCAAAACAACAGAAAGTGTCTGCAATGATAATCAAAGTTCTTTATTTTCTCTATTTAATTTCCTACAATCCCTTTGGAAAAATATTTGTGTCTCCAAATGTACTTTCATTGAAGGAAGCTGATAACCAAAGCATTATGTGAGTAGTTATGGAAAAAAAATTTATTACTGAAAAACAAATGTTCCATTCAGTTTACTTTTTACACATAACTTCACACAAGCAGAAAGGAAAGGTCAAATGTCAGGAACAGAGGCCACTTTCTTTCACTGAAACACCATGACAGAGAGAGATTTCGGCAATTACAGATCCAAATTGGAGAGACTTTACATCTTACTCAAAATAAATGATGCCTAAAAATGTGAAAACATATACCACTTTCTGAAAATCAGTTTCAAAGAATGTCTTTTTATCTTTGTTCTTGGTTTTCCCTTAGACATTTTGCAGTTTATTTAACACAGCATTCTAGCTGCTTAACATTCAAATTTAGACACACTGATTATGTGCTCCACACTTCTGAATAGTTAAGTGTGCTCTATAAATAAACACATCATTTGTGTTCTATTACTACTCTCCTCAAAAGCTTCACATAATTGGAATTAGCCTAGTATTTACTTATCACTAAATATATTTTTGTTAGAAAGGATACACAGCATATGAAATTACAGGAACTTTATGAGTTAAAGACAGGTTTCAGGACTCTCAAATAATATTTACAATGTAAACATCACAGTTATTACATTAGGATAAAGTAAACCACAACATTCACAACACTATATATTTTATTTGGTTTTGATATTGAAGTTGTTTTCTTGAATTACATATTAGAACTCAAAATATAATTACTTCGCCTATCATTTTCCTCCAAGAATTCTGAAAAAGAAAGAATTGGTGTTTTAAGCATAAAAATATTTTTATTTACAGCATCTTAGTTTCATTCACTTATCCACTCACTTGATCACATCTATTTCCCTTTGCCCTTTGTGAACAGCCTGTCATGACAGGAAATCATGTTCTGGGATATCAGAAAGGTATCTTCCAAAGGACTGATTGTCAGAAAGAAACGGAAATGTGAAGAGGCGTTTTAATTAGTCATTATATGTAATTACCCATTTGTAATTTTCACACATGGTTGACACAGAGGATTTCCCATTAAAAGAATTTGTCCAAAGTTACCCATTCAGAAAAGAAAAGAAGGGAGGATGGAATCTCATAAATTATCTTACAGCTTACAAAAGACAGAGAAATTAATCCTCCTTTATATTTTAGTGCCTCTTGTATTTCTTAATTAAATGAAATAGGCTTCTTCTTATAAATGTTTTTTAGAAGCTGTATGTGATTTTTTCTTCTTTGAGCAAAGGGACTTGTTTCTCTGAAATGTCTGTGCATGGTAAGGAGCAGGCAAGTGCAGGACCCTGAGCATCTGTCTCTCAGTGGACAAAAGCAACCAATCAGGCAGGTGTCTTCTCAGACACTCTGCCCACACTTGATGACTCTCTTAGCTCTCTGCTCCAGGAACTTCAGTAAGACCATGGATTGCCTTCAGTCTGAGTGTGGGTCTAGTTTAGTCTCCTTGACGTAGTCAGAGGTTGTAGTCCAGCCTACCTTGAGGTTTTACAATTAAAATAGTATTGTAACAGCAGCTCCCATTCATCTTACATATTATCTGTGGCTGCTTTCATGCTACAAGAGCAGAGTTTGAGTAGTTGTAACAGAAACCATATAACTCACAAAGCCAAAAATATTTACTCAGTAGCCCTTTACAGAAAAAATTTACCAACCTCTGATACAATGATGACATAAAATTCCTTTAGGCACTGGCCAAATATTATAAATTTATTTTTATGAGCTAATGTAAACATTAATGTAACTCAGGAAAGAATTATATCTTGTATCCACATGTACAAAAAAGCAACTGGGCGAACAAGCTTATCACTTAAAGAAAAAAGCCTACTTGTGTTTTCTCTATTCAAAAAATATTTGAATATAAATGCTATTGGATCATTAGCACCTACACTCACTTTATAGGTAAAAGAAGCACATTTAACTTTGCTGCATAAAGCTTGCTATGATTCAAGGAATACAATTAGACCCAGAGTGCCTTGATATTTTCATAATAATGAACCATGCTGCAGTTTGGCGGTATTTCCCTGTACTTAAATTAAATGAGGTGCTAATAGTCATTCGTGGGGCTAAACCTTAAATTAATAAAAATAGAATGGCTCAAGTCTCAAGAAAAAGCCAGTTTTTCCCATTAGTGTGAGTCAGATTCCTCTGGTTTATAACTCGACAGAAGGTTAGAAATAAGTCTGAGTAAACTAGGAGTACCATTCAGGTAGCAAACTGTTAGCCCATTGTGAACTTTCTCTTTTTTGCTATCAGAGCACTGCATGAATCATTTTCAGCTGTTTACTGGGTTGGGGTCTGCTTCAGATAGAAGTGTCCTTTTCCATGAGGCCTCATTGTGAGAACCCTAAGCTGTTCTTTACCAAGTGACTCTTACCTATTGAAATAATTAGATGTTTGCTCTAAGAATAAAATAAGAATAAGAATGCATAGATATACCCACCACTGGGAAGTTGTCAGCAGCTTTGCTTCAAAGAGCTTTTCCATTATTTTTCTAGCTCTTCAGGAAAGTCAGGCAATTCTCCCTCACTGCTGCAGAACAGAAAATGAAAAGTGTGCATGTGAAGGCTCTTTGTTGAGAAAGCTTCCACAGAACTGATGATGTGTGACTTTTGCTGTTCTCTGTGCTCTGTAAAGTGCACTGAGGACTAAACAATTATCTTTGAGCTTAATTATTATCTAAGATTGTCCTTAATTTTTGCAGAATTATAATCTGGTGGGCAAAGGCATTCATCTTGTCTGATCTTGTCCAAGCAAGATTGTTCTTAATACTCACCATCTAAACAAAAATAATTGGAATAAAAAGAGAGAGCATCCCACTTCCTACTTATTACAATCCAGTACTTAGACACCATAGAGAAACATAGGTCTTACAGAATCTTAGACTACAAAAGAACTCATGGCTTAATTTGGTAAAAAAAAAAAAAAAAAAAAAAAGGTATTCAGTATGCATATGAAGGGAGTTCCCTGTGGTATCAAATTGCTAATTGACTGCACTTTACATATTTTAAAAACTAGTACTTCTGGGGTTGCCTGGGTGGCTCAGTCGGTTTTTGCTCAAGTCATGATCTCAGAATTGTGAGATTGAGCCCCACAGCAGGCTCTGGGCTCAGCATGGAGTCTACCTGAGATTCTTTCCCTCTCCCTCTGCCCCTCCCTCTACACACACACACACACACAAACACACACACACACACACACTCTCTCTCTCTCTCTCTCTCTAAAATAAATAAAATCTAAAAGAAACACACACACAATAAAAACCGCCAAAAAACTAGCCCTTCTGATAAAACCTGTCCCCAGATTCAGAGTAGATGTCTCTACAGTCTCATTTTCCATCCTGGATGCACAGCAGAATCTAGTGGGGGAGCGCCTAAAAAAATACCAATCCGTAGGTCCTAATTTTTTGGCAGTTGGTTTTGGGTAAGGCACACATCAGGATTTTAAAAACTCTGCAGGGTAATCTAATGTCAGTCAAGGCTGAGCATTACTGCTTCACAGAATATAGATAGTGAGATAGAGAGATAGATAAATAAGTCTTCATATGGAGCTTCTATTTCTGAACTTGTTTATAATTTCTCATTTTAACAAGTTCTCTGTTTCTTTACCTCCTCTTCCCATTCAGAATTGAGTTCAGGTATTTCTTTACAGCCATTTGTTTTCGGAGGCGGGTATAGTTGTCCGTGAAGACTGCGTCCGAGTGGCGTTTGATTGGGCCCTGGTCTTCTGAGATGCTATTGCTAAGGAATGCAAGGGAAAGGAAATCAAAAGGTTTTAACAAGAAATGATAAATGTGCCAAAGTTCCAAATTTCTTGGAGTCAGATAAAAAAGAATTCCAATGCCCGATGTCTTTTTTATTACAAAAAGACTAAAAGAAAAATATATCTAAGCCTAAGTATAGGGGAGCAAGGAATAATCCAACATATTTTGGCACTTACTGGGAGACTTAATACACCATTCTGTACTAATTGAGCAAATAATTTATCAAAAAAAAAAGGAGGAATACTTGAAGTTGTGTTCTGCCCCATTGGGAGGAAAATTTTTTTAAAACTAAATTCTTTACAAGCTTTGCCACCCTGAATAGTGCCATCTAAATATTCAGCAATTGGCCATTTAAAGAAAGAACTTCCAATGCTTGGTTTGATCAGGAACTAAAAAACAAATACTGTGGCAAATATTAAAATTTGCTTCAGTTTATACTATGCCTTATTTTTTACTGCATCTAGTTCAACTTGATTGCAGATTTATAAATGATTGTCACTTAGGAAAAATAAATATGCCAATGAGTCATAGGATATCAGATTAAATAATCATAATGTGTTTGATAAAATAATAAATTCTCTTTACCCAACACGCTTTCCAATAAGGGACTCAAGGTATTTTTTGGCAGAAAGTTGACCCAAGAGTCTACTAAAGTCACTGGTAAAAACTCCATCAGCATGTCTGGCATTCCTAAAAGAAGGAAGAAGGATAGCCATTATCTTGTAAATGGTTTCCTAAAATATTACTTCGCCTCATTAAACAAGAAAGAAATTTATCAGCTGTTTGAAAGCTTCTTGTGCAAACTAGAATCCAAAAGGTTTCTTGACAACCTAATAAAAGATATTTTCTAGCCACTTATATTGAGATACATTATATATTTCTAGCACAAAACTTTGAAAAATTAAAGAATTCAAATTTTTAGAAGTATATCTCAATATTAAGTAATGCCTTCTGGTAGAGTCTATAAAACTAATTCTCCAATAAATATTGATGGGAAAATAATATATTAAAATTAGTTTCTCTTTATTTATTTATGGTGCTTTATTTCTTCTACTCCAAATAGAGATACATACAAGGAGAAACTATCCTGGTTTTTAGCAAAAACCTTATTATATTTTTTGCTATTTCTTCTGCCAAAATACTTGGAAACAAAATCTCTTAAGATAGAGAGGCCCTTAGTGACTATTAGCCAACTTTCCCACCCAAGTCAGGAATTTTTATACTTTGTCTTCTTCAGTAGAGAACTACTCTGTCTATGCTTGAATGCTGCTCTAGACAAATGGTTCTGTGTAAGTGAAGGATTTGTTGATCTTGGTTTGTTACACCTTCTCTACATGAAAATCATGTACAGCTGCTAGAGTTTCAATAAATCAGGCTGAATGAAGCAATGGCACATGGAAACCTGTGGTACAGTACTGTAGGAATAGCTTCACAGTGACGCAAATTGTAAAACATTTATATTTCAAAATATGTTTTTTAAAATAAAACTCAATAAAAAACAAACTCACCTGGACACATCATAATAGGGTGTGTCATTCTCAGCTAATGCATTTTGCAAGATGTCAGTGTCTACTTTTAATGAAACTTGATCAGGTTCATTTTCTTCTTCAAGTGGTATTCTGTCATCCAATCTATTAGGAAAACATATAGTAGAGGTATAATGTATTTCTTTCTCAGAAGATAGTGTTTATGGTTTTACAATCACTGGAAATAAGATAATATTCTTGAAAAGTATTACACATTCACAGTATATGGATAGCATAGTTAGATTTACTAGCTTCTATGGTTTAGAGTATAAATAGTGAAATTTTTTATTATCCCATAAGATAGATGCCATGCAACTTTTACAAGCTGTATGTAACAAACATAAAGGTTCAATCCTACTTGTTTACTGCACTGGCAGTAAACAAAGTACACTTTGTTGGCAATGTCTTCACTTTGCAAAGTTATTCACAGGTAGAAAAATTCTGTACAAAATAGAAACTTCAAAAAATTTTCAATATTCAATATGAAAAATTGGGAACAATTCATATATTTGTTGGTGTTTGGTATCATTTGTCAAACATTTCTTAAGAGGTGGATATTAACTGTTTTCTTTCTCTAGGTCTGTAAGCTTTACACACAAAGATTCACTTTAGTGTGATATATTTCTCTGTGTTAATAAAGTACAAAGAATCTCTCCATCTCTGAGTAGTTACTCAAATTCAATAAATTTTGCAGGGTCTTCTTATTTCTAATCTTATGTATTAATACAATTTTAGTGAGGTATGTGCAATGTTTTACTAAGTGACTAAGAATATCATGCTTATACATGGAATATGATTATTTTTGAATGCATGCACATTTTGAATACCAGCACACTATTAAAATTATGAGTGTGTCTATTTTCACTATTAGATTAAACCTCCAAGGAGTGTATCAGCTCCTGGGTACTTGTGCATCTTTTGATGATGTAGTAGTTGGTGGAAGTAACAAGCAGTCCTCTTTGTATGAAGCCTAGCAATCAAAGCAAACTTCAGCATTCTTGTGATTGTTTGTTGTGATATGTGATATAACCATTCAGATAGAATCATTCTGTTTAGTTATAAAGCAACATAAGATCTGGCTTTAAGCAGATTTCACAAATGCTAATAGCTAAGAGATTATTCAACCTATTGAGTATAAGTTTACCCTGAAAAAAGAATCAGAAATGGGAATTTGAGCAAAGAGATGACAATTTTGCCCTTAGATATAGTGGTGCCTATAAATTGGAAAGACAAAATAAAGCTAATGTAGTTTTCATTTACTGTTTACTTCTTTGAGATAAATTTTAAATAAGAGTTGTGTTATAATTTCTGAATTTGAGATATGAAATACAACATAAAGAACAGTGAAACTAAGGATTTAGGGCTGAAACCAAGTGCATTAAAATTCACTCACTGGGGAAGGGTATCTCAGTAGATCAGTTATTCTGCAATTTACAATATTGGCAAATTGATTCTGGATAGATAGGTAGATCTGTCCAGTATGATTGTATATATGTTTCACTAATCAACTACTAACCTTAAGATTATTTACTGAATGATCTTGAAAATGAACTATAGAATGAGGCATGCAACTAAACATCTATTTTTTTTCCATCAGAAACTGAGCTGAACTGAGATGACAATGGATAAAAGCTTATTACTTATCTAAAACTGGTTTTGAATGAAAAGAAAATCAAATCCTTCTTTCTCTCTGTTTGGAAAAGTGATCCACCCTATCCTTAAAACTAGTCATTGACACTGTCTCTCATGACCTGAGAGTGGATTCCAGGATATAGAATAGTCGTGTTGATTTGATGTTCAAAAAACTTGCTTAACATGTCAGCCAAAAGATTTAAATAAATAATACGTAACTTAAAAAATTGAGTTGTCCAAAATAACATATAGGAAATTTCCACATACATAAAGAAGGAATGTTCGACTCTCTGAATTGCAAGAATACTTACCTCAGAGCAGAGGGTGCTCCAAAAAGAGGCCATGCCAACGTGTGAGAGAAGAGCATGCTGACAAGTGTTAGCAGCACAAGTAGCTGGGACTTACTTCTGGTTTCCATCTTTGTACTTTGAAAGAGAGAGAATCACATCAGCTTTCCAACCAAAGATATCGCCCCAACAAAGTAATTCTGAGTGTCTAGTAGTAATTTCTGAAGGCTCTTGCAGAGCTGGGAAAAAGTAATTTTCATCTTATGGAAAGAGTTAAACTACAATATAATTAATTTTTAAATCAAGAAGTTTTTTTTTTTTGGTGACAGCTGCTTGAATAAAAATTAGGGTCCTTTTCAACTGCTGCCTATCTCTCACTAGGCACATAGTTGGACCAAGTATATGTGGAATGCTATGCTTCCATAGTGCTGGAAGTATCCATGGAAACAGTCTTCTTGTAACAGAGTCGTAGCACCCACATTTGGTATCTTTTCTAACTAAAGAAATAGTTTAAGTTTCTAGTGTCTAATTAATAGAACACTGGAGTATCATCTATTTAATAATGTGTGTCTATATGTGTATGTATATATATGTACATATACATATCAGTATAAAAATTGTACATACATTTCTTTTTCCTCTTTTAATTGTACAGATTATTAGGGAATTATTTGCTTATGTCTGGGTTTGAACAATAATGAAAATTAATACCAAAAATTTTTAAACTGCATATTACCATTGAAATAATTTTTGCTACAAAAGGAAAAATATATTAAAATAATATTTGTGCTATTTTACATCTAATCCACTTTCAGATTTCATTTCTAAATAGTTTGTAGATAGAAACTTAGAATTTGAGCTTTGTTTTTCTTGCTGTCTATAAAAATCACAGCATTTAGACTTAAAGAGGAAAATGAATGCTTCCTTGGTTCACATAACTAACATATGAAATAGAAAGAGCAACAGTAAAAAAAAAAGAAAACAAGTTGAAACTTGTAAAACAAATGTACCCACTGAACCCTTCAGTTAAAAATGTATATAACAGGCAAAAAAAAATCCACATCCTACTTTAATACAGTTTTAAAAAGACAGTATTGAGTAAAAGTATTGAGCAAGCAGGGCAAAGCATCTTCCAACCAAAAGAATTCAGAAAATCCACAAATATATAAGAAGTTAAAGCTTTTCTACACTTACCAGGTGACTTGAGAAACTTGTTTTTTTGTTGTTGTAAAGGAGAAACACTGTAAAATTCTTTTCAAGAGAGAGAAATATTCAATATACCCTGAGAAAAGTTTCAAAGCAGGAGGAGGGACAAAAAGAAGAAGAAAGGTAGGGTTTTTACTCACCTTGCCAAGTAGTGTTTCTCCGGAGCTTTCTGTATGGAAGGAGAATATTGGAGCTGTCTTAGGTGCTGAAGTCGTATGAGGCCAAGAACGGCTCCACTAGTTCTCTGCCCTCAGAGCTGAACCAGAAGTTGGTATTGGCTACGGGTTGGCTATTATTGCTGGCAACTGCTTTTCACTCTACCCTGACCAGCATTTCAAAGCCCATCATTTTATAGGGCTTACACTTAGGGCTGAGCAATCACAAAGCTCTCTGAAAGACGTCACAGTAGTACTCCCACAGGATGAATAAGGCTTGAGTTCTTATTAAATTTTCATTATGTCTGATTTATATAAATTTATAGTGAGTAACTTCAAGATGTAAGACATAAAGAGGAAATTTACTTTTCTTTAAATGAACAACAACAACAGAAAGGTACCAAGCTTAATATGAAATGTTTTCATCTTTAATTAGCAGGAATGAAATTAGAGAATAATTAGTGTTATAGCCAGGGCCATTGGGGCTCCTTCAGAAAATAAGAGTTTTATGTGCAGAAACAGATACAGAAAAAAAACAAACACTTATGTTCATTATGCCTACAAATGTATAATTCTCCTTTATTATAAAGTATCAATTCTAAAGCCTTTTAAAATGTTTTCTACTATTCATGTAAATCCCAATTTAGTCTTTCTTGAGATCTATTCTAATTTTAAAAGCATCTAGAAATAATTTCCCATTTCTCTATTATTACATTTCCTTTGTGTTGAAACTATTCCCAAGATAAAAGTTTCAGAAAGGCGTTAAGATATTATATACACACTGTTATATAAAGTCATAGTGGTACTGCTATTTCATATTTGTTCAAACTATCATAATTCCCAATACACTTTCACATATACAACCTCAAATGATCCAAAAAATAAACTATCAGACTGTATATCTCAAAGGATTCAATTTTCCCTCCTTTGTAAAGGAAGACATTTTCATCATTTGTATAGGTCCTTGCACTATACAGAATTATTCTGTTTCTCCCTTCCATCCCTGAATACACACCTATACTCACACCAGCTTTTTGAACATTTCCAACTTAGTCAGTTGACAGGTTTCAAAGAACTAGTTGGAAAGCATCTGCGGAGTACTTTGATAAATACTTAATTTCTGTTTGTGGGGGTTTTAATTCAAATTAGACTAGCATATATTCATTCAGAGTTTCAGGTAAAAATACAGCCACACGAACAACTTTCTGGACAATAAAGTAAAATGCCATCTTCCCTATAATTTTTAAAAATCTCCGCTGTGTGTATCCTTTTACATTTTTGTTCAGAAGTTCCTCAAGAGAGAAAGACTCTAAAGCCCCCTTTCTTTCTTCTACTTTAAAATTTTAGTATCTATTGGCTTCATTCAAAGCCAGACTGATCCAGTAAAAGAATATCCTGCTATGCTTAATCATATTTTCTAATCCAGTTACAAGAAAAATTAAATGAATTAAATTTCAAAATGTCTGGAAATTTGTTTCCCAGTTGACAGCTCTGACTTTAGCCAGAGTTCCTGTGGCTTAATTCCAGGAAATCTTTTTTTACCTGATTATTACAAACTAGAGGTCGAAATGGTTCTCATGTGGAATTTTTTATCCTTAGCTCTTCATCACTCAATTCTCAGTGAGACAATTTTATTTAAGAACAGAAACAGCAAAGTAAGTTGATTGAAAGTCACAGAAAAACCAATGCTGAAAGATAAGCAGAAAAATCTAAATGAAAAAAGACAAAAAAGTTGATTATTATTTGGTTTCAGGAAGCACTTAGCATTCATAAAGAATAACTACATTAGATTTTTCCAGTGGTAAAGACAGTTTCTCCCATTATAATAATAAAACACAAAAGTAAAGAGAAATAATTCAATTTTATTATTTCTAGATAAACTAAATCAAAGAACTGCGTTTTTTTCCTATGAATTTAAACTAGAAAGCAAAACTGAATTTCATAATAGGATCATAGCACCATCTGCAGGTTCAAAGTCTTAATTCACAAGTTTTTTTGATTTTTTGTTTTTTGTTTTTATGTGTTTCTTGTCTTTTCTTTCAAGGAAATGGATGTAAACCAGAGGTCCTTTAACCAGTTAAATTATAGATGCTTCCAGAAAAATAAACATAAAAAAATACTGTAGCTGAATTTATTCTGAATACTTTACTATAAAACTCAGTAAATACAAAAATACAAATGTGAATTTAGCCTTTTAATTTGCTTTTCTGCTACTTTAACATATCTTTCTATAACTTTCTAACATCTTTAGCAAAATTTATTTCCTACCATAGGGCTTCTCAGTGAAGGGATGTTTATAAGAACTGTCATTCATTTGTACACTTAGAACAAATGTCCAAGATCCTTTTTTTACAAATAGGTAAACTGACATCCAGAGTTTAAGTAATTTTTGCAAGGTCACTCAGGTGGCTAATAACAATAAGGTATTGAAAGGTAGCTCTTTTGATCTTGATAATAGCTTTTTTTCTGTTAACAACTGTTGATTTTCTGTAACTGTTGTTACTACCATTATCGATGCTAACACATCAGAGAAGGAAAATAAAAGCATATAAAAATATTGACATCTCTCCTCTCCCTTTTTCACTAACAGAACCAAGAGCAGAGAAAAAAAACTGGCATTCGTCAGATGGAAGGAATTTTCAAACTCAGGAGATAGGCAGAAATCCAGATTCACTCTTTCTTCTTAGTGCAAATTGCTAATAGAGAGTCCTTACTGCTGTTATGGATGATATGCCAATGTGTGCTCTCTGGCCTCTTGGTGTGACAGCTTTCCTTGCCTAACTCACACGCCGCCCTGAGACCTGGTCATCCTGCCAGGGTAATCCTCAGGGGTTAGGTCAAGATGAAGTCTGCAAACCACTGTCTGTGAGTCACATATGGCTTATCCCTCCAGTTTTTATATCTTTTAAACTAAGAATGATGTTTACATTTTTAAAAGGCTGGAAAAAATTAAAAAATATTTAATGATACATGAAAAGTATATGAAACTTAAATTTCAGTGTCCATAAATAAAGTTTTAATGGAACACGGAAATGTTCATCACATGTGCACTATCTATGGCTGCTTTTGTGGGGAAATGGCCAAGTTGAATGGTTGTGACAAAGACTGTATCTTATAGAAAATCATTCCTACATTTCAGAATTTTCTTGTTTTAACCAAAACACACGCAGAAAGAAAAATGTATTAAATGCAATGAGCCATCTATCCCTTACTTTAGGGTTGTGTTTATGAGATAATTTTATGAAAGTAGATTTTGGAGGAATGCTGTGGAGAAAATCACAAAAGCACACAATTCCAAGGTAGGAACGTTTAAAGACAGAGTTATTAAAGATTTAAGACCAAATTTTATCTGCTTCACAATATCCTCTGTCCTCTACATGTACTCCCCCATGGACACATTCCATGTAACAAACTCACTGACCCCCTCACCTTGGGGATCAGAATATCTGAGATCCACAAGGAAAGGGAGACGTTCACAGTGAAGGAAGTGAAAGACAAGTGTCCTGTTCCTGGCTCTTAAATAACACCGAAATCTAGATATTAAAATGAAAGATTTGGCAAAGATATGTATTGAGTGAGTTCTCGTGTCCCCTGCACCACTATGTCCATCCTCCCCAGACAGGGAATAACCTCTGAGATGGGGAGAAGAGATTATTCAAGATGAGGAGGCAACCTTCTGCCCCTATGTGGGAGTTTATGGTAGAGTTGAAGGAATGAGTGACAGAACCTCATCCTATTACACTTAGGGACTAAACAGTAGAGGCTAATTTGCTTCTTTTCTTCTCTGATTGCTACAGCAAAACATGAAGAAGCACTTTTTGCAATGGTACAGGAGGTGGTAGATAAAGCTGTAGGACAAGCTCCCCCTGCCATGCCCTGTTTGGTAAGACCCTAAATACTGTCAGGAGTAAAGAGTGGAAAGGTCCCACCAGTCTACCAGGCCAGACTATACCCAGCGACCAGCACCCATCTCAGCAGGTAACAGCAAGGCACGGAGTATCTCTTGAGGACCCAAAAGCAGCCTCCCAGGTTTCATGTTATTATAAACAGTCTCAGAAACTTAGAGGTTACTCTGAGAAAAAAGAAGGGGAGAGCAAATCCTGAATTGACAGAATTTTAAATCTTAGTAATTTCTGGGTAAACATGGTAATTGTACGTTGTACATTTTCTGTGGAATGGGGATTAAAATAGAGGTTAAGTTAGAGGAAAGCTTTTAAAGCTAATTTTTTAATAGGTCCTACAATGTGGCTTGTGAAAATTTGTTCTTACTACCGCTGTACAAATGAACTTGAGTTTTGTATGATCGCGCTTTGCATAGAAGGAAACTGTCCAGACCCCGTATCCTACTTACTATCAAAATCGCTTTATAAGAGACTGTGAGACAGAAGCCATTGACCCTTCCTAGAATACCAAGGCCTGCCTGCCCTTGCGTCTTACCCCAGCCCCTTTGTCCCTCAGTCCTAGTTGATCTCCAACTTCAGTTCTGTTCCTTTCTTAGGCTTCCCCATCCAATTCCTGGGCTTTCAGGTTCTCAGCCTGTTTCTTTCATTTTGCCTCAGTCCTTCTACGACCTTCTAGTACACTTAAGTTTGGACTTGTTCTTAGGACAAATCTGATCCCACAGGCTGCAAAAGTACATGCTCCTCCCTGCTGGATGTTCTCCAATTGCCCCTTTGAACCTACTTTTCTCCACATTGCTTTTTATTCCCTAGAGGCTGACCTGCAGATCTATCCATGCCCTGAGGTCCTCTGGCTTCTGTTGGACTAAGCCAAGGAGAGGCAGTGGTTGGAAATGAAAAGGACGGAAGATGAAAGGAAAGAGAGCTCTGAGTATTTACTTGCCATAGACCATAATTTGGTAGAGGTTACATTCCTTCACCAAGACCAAGACCCTGTAGGTGGCCCCTTCAACAGCAGCCCGAGAGGTGCCAACAGCTTCCTGCTGAGGCTAGCCCATGGGTCTTTTGCCACTACATCGGTCCTTGACATCTTTACTAAACTCACGTCCGTTCACCTTTGGAGAGAGTCATTTGTGTCCTGTCCAGTCCCTACCCGTGCACTCCCATTCCTGCACCAGACCTCACACTTCTAAGAATATCTGGAGACATTTAATTTGGGGATTCAATAGCTTTAGAAAGCCTGCTCATTTTTTAAGTTTTGATATTTTTATTTCAAGTTGGGAGACTCCTTAGAATAATCAATGTGGAAGCTTGGAGGAAGGTCACTGTTGCCCTGAGCAGGTCTGTCGGATTGGTGAGCAGTTGGTTTTTGAAGACTGTGGCCAAAACACAAAGAAACTAGAAGCCCATTCAGACCCTTGGTGCCACTCAAGCCCCTTCAAGAAAAGAGGCTGGATCCATTGCTAATCCATGTGTCGAGGAAAGGTCAGTGTGCTGCCAGAAGCCAAACACCAAGCTCTGATAGGGGTATTTTCCAGGAATAAAGTAGCAGAACAGCCTTGGGGAAGGAGATCTGAGCAAACATGGCCTGCACCTCTCCAGGGCTCCTGGCACCTCATCTTCAGGAAAGAAAAACCTCACTGTCTAGGAAGCAGGAGCTCTGGCTATTTGATAAACTTTTTTTTTCTTTAAATCATCATTCTAATATCCTGTATCTGTAGTCATTTCACTAGACTTTCCAGCCTGGGAAACTGATGTTCTATCTGACTCATAAAACCATGACTTTTTAGCTTGAAAGAATTTAAGATAATTTAGTTCTGCTACTTCATTTTGGGAAAAACAAATTTTTTAAAATTGTATTTATTTATTTGCCAGACAGAGAGAGAACACACAAGCAGGGAGAGGGAGAATCAGGCTCCCCACTGAGCAAGGAACCCCATGTGGTACTCATCCCAGGACCCTGGGATCATGACCTGAGCCAAAGGCAGATGCTTAACTGACTGAGCCCCTCAAGCATCCCTTGTTTTGGGAAATTATAGCAATTCCACATCCCAAAGAGGCAAGTGACTTCAAATGAGTAGCAAATCTGGAATTTAGACCCTTCTTTTCTCTCTCCAAATTCACTGTCTTTTCACTGGACTGTGAATCCAGGAGATTAGCAACCCACAGAATAGAGAATGTGTTGTATAAACCAAAGTGACAGGGAAGAGAAAGGGAGAGGGCATGACTACTTTTGCTGCTGTGATAATGTGGGTTTATTACAGACACTTGACTGTAGAGATGATATTCACAGATAGTTACGTCCAGTGATGTACATTTGTTTGGAAAGAGTTCTTACCCAAAATAATAACCAAATGAAAATGTGTTGAGTGGTATCACAACAGGGAATGGCTTCCTGGGTTCACACTAGCCTCTTTACGGCTCCAGCATCTTTAGATTACTTTTTTTGTCATAACAGTTTTGAGATCAAATATTAGATAGAGAAAGCATACAGTGCTTCTTTCTCTTCATAATAAGAAGAGTTGTTCTGGGCATTTTTCTTGTCAAAGGGAATAAGAATTAGACACTTTCAAAGTTATCTGTGTTTCTAGGTGCAGAAATCAATGACCTGACAACTGTACTTGTATGTACATATGTGGGAGTTCTTACCATTTGAGGAAGGGGGAAAAAAATCAAATGTGAGACTCCAGGATCTCTGCAAACAAAG